AACTCCATTCAAGGTGGGAACGCCCGTGCTTGTCCGTGACTATCGCCCAGGACATGATGCATGGATTGCAGGTCGTATCCTGCGCAAACGCGGTAGTGTAATGTAGGACGTGTCGGTTGGTCAAGACACCTGGACCAGACATCAAAACCAACTCCGCTTTAACAGCACGCCGGAAACTCAAGTATGTTCGGGTACCGTACCGTTGGACATATTGCTCGATACTTTTGAGCTTAAAACTGAGACAGCTTCGAAAGAGGAGAGTGTGACCGGCAGCTCAGTATTTGGTCCAACACTTCTTCCCAGACCGACCCCGCCGCCAGCCGGAACGTATCCAGGTCGACCCCCGTGGAGTATGTTACTGGCTTTTCACAAGGGGAGTTGTTGGGGATGTCAATAACCCTCCCAAAAAAAGCTCTGCATTTTTATGTGTGCTAGCGAACTTCCGGCATCTTCAAGGTCAAACTATGAATATATATATGCATTGTCATTTTTTCCCACGATCGCCTGTTGTTGGATCATTAAAGTTTGTGACCGAGGTTTTTCGTCTTCTTCCTATCCGCCGTGCTAGGAGTCTGGATCAAGCAACATAGCTGGGGATAGAGTATTGCCACGATCCGCACATCATATTGTTTTGCTCGCAGCGTGATCGAACCGTAACAATACAGCTCTTGGCGTGAGGCATGGTCCCCTCCGAAGTAGTTTGGAAGGGTAACACAAGGACTAAAACAGGCAGACTTGGGTAAAAGCGACTACTTAACCTTAAACAATCGTCTGCTGACGAGCAACCCGTTTCAAATCCATCAATATTGATGGTCGGGTAACTTGGAATCCATTCTGGGGATTAGGTTTAGACCGATGCCTACAAAACATGTATGTGTACAGTGTAACTTCCGAAAGCGATACTACCAGATTGTGTAGGTAGGAAGCCATCAAACGACCGCGAAGCATAAAAGGAAAAGCTTATCGGAATGGAATCCATATGGAAGCGAAATAGCAGATGAAACTTATCAAAAATGAAATCGGCCATATGAATGAAATATACGTACAAAGTTGTCGAGGAATGGGAATAGCCGCGAGCTGTGAAATGTCTCGACTCAGCCAAGTGAAAACATTCTTGAACAATATTTGACAGTGACTGGAACAGACAGCCGGAAATTCGATGGAAGAACAAACTAATCCATAACCTTTGCACGCTTAGAAGGGGCTATAAATACTGCAAACATCACTAGTTGTGTACAAGCAGCTTATAGAACTGAAGGTCGAAAATTCAAATAGCCCTGATGACTTGACACTCATGTTGCCCAAAGTATGCGTTGACAATTCGACCGAACCAGCGACTGGTAGTGTCCCAATACCAGAAAAAGTACAGTTCGCTAGGGAGTGGCACGGACTACGCTAGCACCTTCGAAATATCGACCGGTTACTCGCACGTCTATACCTTCGAAACTACTTGAGTGCATCAAAATGAAAGAATGACCATTCTGCTGTCTGAGGACTCGTAATTCATTGCTTATAGGAAGTCGCACCCGATCACTTGCTCCTACTAACTAACTGGTTCGATTTCCCATGAAACGGCACACTGCCAGCCGCAGATACTCCCTGAAGGTCACGGTAAGGCAGGTCTCATCTGTTTCCTTAAGCACTAATTAACAAACCGGTACCGGGAATTCCTATGGGACTCTATATTGAAAGGTAAGGACTACAGATATAACGTTGCAGGCTGTCTGAAGGATTCGTCAGAACGGATTTAAGTGTCGAAGGTCACAAACGAGATAGATGATGTGCCAATGACAGAAATGTCCACAAAATTGTGATGTGATATTCCCGTGAACACATCACCGCCACCTGCGGTCTTTTTGTTACAAACAGTATCGAAGGGTTTCTCTAAGGGTTGAAGCCCTTAATCCGATCTGGGCCTAGGTGATCGAAGTCTGTGTAATTAGCGACGTGATGTGGAATGATGAGTTGAATCCCATTGAAAGTCACATAGCAATTCGGCTTCCCGGTCAGCTTGAAGTTTCCACCAGAGGCATTACGGAGAGCGTAGTTTGCGTTTACCTGGTGGCCTTCCAATGATGTTTCAGGTTGGTTCTCAAAGGACAGTGAGGTCAGACACTTTATCTAGTTAATGAGTAACCCATATTTCATTGATGCGCGCTGTGAAAAATTTTCATCCACCTTCATTCGACGGTCCCAGCCTCTGAGTGCGTTCTTCTACCAGATCAGTGTCGGGGCAAGTTTCCGAAGTCACCCCTCCAGCACTTTACTTCGTAGGCTTTTCCAGTGCCCCTGCCGCATATGTGGCTCATATGTGGACAGAACAGTTTCATTAGTCACAAAACCAATATTATGGGCAGTTTACTTGGACTCCGTCTAGAAAATCATTACCTTTTAGGGGATATTTTGCGTACCATGTAATGGTTTTGGCGCACTGGTAGAGCACAGTGAACAAGGAACTCTGCTCGCTAAATATTTGGGCCAAGATCTTGATGGCGTCTGCGAATTCAACGTCACAAGGGAGTTGGCAGGGGACGATCCGGTTCAGCTATCCTGTTTCCGCCCCTCAGTTACAATCACGCAAAGCATGCCAATCGTAGGATTACCGGAAGTCTTAATTGCTTAAGGATTATATCGGCTCTTCAGCCCTGCTACAGACATTGAACACCCTCTGGATTATCGCCTTTTACTTGAAAGGTATGACGCAACTATTTCCGTTTTCTAATTTTCGTCCACCGCCAAAAGTCCACTCAATCAAGTATCCCAAAACACACTAATCTCGATGTCAGTTGAATTAGTGTGAGCGTCAAGGATATCAGTTGGTTAAGGTAAGACGGTGAGTGGAATAGAAAATTTTGGTATAACTAGATTATATTGGACTAGACAAGTAACTGACCGACTGAGGAACAGTTGTAACTTCTCGCCTGCTGTGCCATCCAGCAAGGTCAAACCGTGACCGGCAACGCCCTTAAAACGGATGTTGAACCAGCATTGAGTCCGTTCTGCGTAGAATGCCACGTAGTCATCTGTCGGGCTGGCAATTCCTTCGTCTAGGCAAAGCCCAATGTTTAATTTGGTAAACTGGACCTCATTTGGTGACTCGGGATGAAGTGGGTGTTTTCCTTCGATGAACGGCTGCATACCGCGAACCCCGCCTAATTCCTCATCAGGAACAAAACTCAGGAAGACTGTACGGCGGAGTTCGGCAATACCACGATTCTTCAACCGACGCACTGCTTCCAACTGATGAATGCCCACACACTTCATATCCTAGGTTGTATGAAGTAGAATACAGAAAATGTTATGTTGTTGGTAGGATTGTTACGGCATATTCCTCACTGCTATAGCATCTTGATCTGATTCCGAGGAACAAGGAGGCGTGGTTTATAGATAAATCCAGAAATGTCAAATATCATCAGTCGGTGTGCCACCAGTGTTGAAATAGATGTTTCAACGTCAAGCGAAAACAAGGCCCTAAACTGAGAAAAAGCGCGGATAGGCACGGAAACTGATGCTACCCCACCAGTCATACTGTGTATGCTCCCACAAACGCTCATTTAAACAATTTGGATGACCACGGAAATCCCGCTCGCATTTTTAGCCGCTATATTTTGTGTCACCTCCGGGTAAGTGCAGAAACGAGGACTCCGTCTTGGAAGGTAAGCTGATTCGTGAGTTTCCCCTGAATTCGCTACGAGGTCCCGCTCGCCCACTGTCCCTTTGAAAAAAAAGGAATATGACATTATGAATTTGACAACTGAAGCCCTGCAGTTGGTCCACATACTTCTAGTATGCGCGTGGCTTGAGATTTTCCACATCCCTGCGCTTGTAAGCACCTTGAAGCTACTTGTCAATAGAGCACCAGTGTTGTTTTTGGTAGTGACGTTTTACAACATTGGTTAAGGAAATTTTAATAGGCCAAATCGTCCGGATGAAGGTGGTGATCATTGAGGTGTACCGTACACTGAAAGAAGAGTCGCTGTGCGAATCAATAATTGCTGAGACTTCCACCGAACGTGTATTTTTTTAGGCCCCTGATAAATGTTCACCATGAGGACACTGATCAACACAAAGTTAGCAACTAACCTGTGAACCTCGACCATAGATCTTTCCATCCTCACTGAGCACACCAGAGAATGGTGGGTAAGTCCAATTCTCCTCCTTCACAGGAACAACATCCATGTGGGAATTCAACAAAATGGCAGGCAAATCTGGTTCCCGACCTTTCCACCGCATGATCAGGATCGGATTGGAGGGGATTAGTTCAGTTATGAAACAAGTCAAGCCTAGGCTCTCGCCTTGCTGTCGTAGCCAATGAACCGCCGCGGAATAGTCTGGATTTGGATGCACGGTAGGAAATCGAAGATAAGCACGGAAATTATCCACGGCCAGTGCGTCCAACTCTTCCTCGTTCATTTTATTCCCTTTAGGACAGCCTGGAATACAACATGTCATATCCATGACCACTATGGAACAGGATCGCTGAAAACTTTCCTTAAGGTTAGGTTTCAGCAATATCAGCACTGCCAAAAGTGCCAGATGGCAAACAATCCAGAATATAAAGTTGCGCGACACCTTCATATGTACGGTTCACCATCGCAGATATTGACACCTGCCATACAACCGCACGGCTTATTTAAAAGACAAGATGGAGAAACCGGTTGCTGGTTCACTGGATAGATTTTGAGGTGCGTACATATCCGAATGAACAACCTATGATCAATAGCTACCATCGTGACTTGGTGGTCGAACATGAGTGTTGTAATGATCCAACAGGATAGAACCTCGTCGAGGGTGTAAGCTAAATTGGGGGGGGGCAAAAGGATTAGTTCTACACCGAAGCTGGAACTCTCACTTAAGTGAGAATAATTATTCGAGTCCGAAAACCAGCCGGTAATCATCATCACATCCAGCAACGACTATCACTATTACCACAACTTTCCGATCTTACATTTTCGTGACCTATGAGGAGTTCATGAAAGGCTTCGTGGGATTTTATTAAAAAATATAACCTTACTTTGGTTTGTGTGCACTGCAACAGCGTTTTTCACTATTTGTTCCAGTTGCACTCCGCCTTTGTCTGACGTTTTTTAACTGTAATCCCCGGTGACTTACACGGTTTCTACATGCATGTGATGTGAGAGTTGCTGACACAAATCAGTGATGCCTAATGCGCCATCCAGCGACTATGTGTAACTATACAGCGGCAACTGAGGTATTTATTGTGCAGGTCCGATTTGTATAGGACGAACCAACAAAAGATTGCTCACGAGGATGTGGTAATAGCATGAACCGCCAGCAACATCAATGCTGACATCAATGACTCACCGCCGTATGATCACAAAGTTCAACCAACTATATTCAGCCCTCGAGTGAAAACAAGAGAGCGGGCGGGGGGTCAAGCATCGGCCTATTGTCCGAGGCACTACCGCCATTCATAAGCGGACATCACCTATTGGGCGGATGTGTTATGTGGGGTCGAGGGTGTGCTCTGATTGGTCATAAGGTCAGACGGTCTAGATCAAGGCTACTTAGCTTGACCCTTCTCGCACATTCACGAAGATTCCAGCACGACCATGTGGGAAATTCGCTGATGACCCAGTAGACATGGTTGTAACAATGTTACTTTGTCTCGATGAGCGGATGTCGGAAACTACCGTGCATTCTGATAAACCATGGTGGGCGGAGCAAGCGGCCGAGGAATTAACGGGACGTTCGTTGTTGACAACTTACCCATGTGAGCTGTTCCATCTATCGAAGTAGCTAGCTCGTGGCCGCATCTTAACTAAACCACCTTTGACGGATTGGCTGAAGACGAGGTAGGAATCCTTCTCGGGCCCGACGTATCCGAAGCGCTCTGGGTATTCGATCAGCGCCTGGGAGATAAATGACAGCCATTTGCCGTAAAGACCTTAATTGGTTGGATGCTTCTTGGTCCGATGGCAATTGGGACGAGGCAGAAGGTTGTCAGCTGTTGTATGACCGCACACAGTCAGGACTTCCACGATTCTTTGCGGTTCTTTGCGGAATTCACCGACGCTTCAGCATACAACGCTAGTCTCTCCTTAGAAGACCAGAAAGCATTATTGACAACGGTGACTAGTGGGGTGCGGTGCGGGTGGCTCCTCTTAAGCCCGATTCAATAGCAAGGCCAGAGCCTACAGCTGCGCGTTTGGCAATTCAGGTAGCAGATCTAATTGGAATAAGTGGAAAGAGCTACATACAGTGTACTGTGTTTTGGGCAGACTCCGTGATAACTCTGTACAGTGTTCATAACATAGCTTCCGGATTTTGTACCTTTGTCGTAAATAGACTGACAATTGTTCGTGATGCGCCGTCGCCCACGCAATGGAGACACGTAAAGTCGGAGAACAGCCAAATCAACATTGTCTTTCGAGTGACGTATAACTTCATTCCGCTGCGTGGATGGTTAACAGGGCCAAGATTCTTGCTCCAGCGACAGAGCAATTGGCCTACACAACCTCCATTGAGGCCACCCGAAGTGAAGAGCTTTATGGTACATGTCCACAAACTCGAACGAAATGACGGTATACGCTTACTAATAGCTCGGCTTTCCAATTAGACGAAGCTACAGAAGGTCAAAGCTTGGTCACTAAGTTACAACCAATATCTATCGATGAAAGCAGGTAGGGTGAGAAAAATGACTACAACCTCTGGTGGAGATGTGCTTTGTGAAGAGTGATTTGTAATGGTAGTAGACGGTTGTGAGGTCAGCTCAGATGGCTTGAGGAGAACCCCGCATGCTAGAACGGCGGGCGGCGTTCTCAAGAGGGATATTGGAAAAGTATGATTACCGGGCGACGAGGTTGGGTCTACACTCTATCAAAGCCAGCGCTTGTGGTAAGAGTGGACTTGAACCAGTAGTGACGGCGGCTGACGATGGAGCTGAGCATCGGAATAATACAAGAATCGCGGCGTCTGCTGAACCAAAGTGGAGTACTTGGCTGGCGGTTCATCATCCACTTTCCCGGATATGCATAACTATCCTGTACATGGTGCAGCGCCACGAGGTAGCTGCAGGTATTGTGCCTATTATGAATATGACGCTCTATAAGTTGTGAGCGCCATAAATTGGTCGCCATGATGACGGTAGCCGCTGTCACTCACCTCGATCACTTATCGTAACTGCCAGACCCGCGCCTGTGTGACGCTGATTATGGGACCTCACCTATGCGGAATTCCGCGGTACGTTCGAAATCGGTTTCGTTTTTCTCTCGTGCAAATCTGTGAAAGAATTTTTCGTTGTTCAGTCTATTCACAGAGTGCGCGCGAGTCACTGTTGAATTTTATTACTCTAACAAAACATTTGAGAGATAACCCTTGTTATTTTGCGCACACTTCCTATTTTGCATCTAGTCTTAAACATGACATCGATTTATACCGATTGTCCTCTGCAGACCATAACAGATGTAGGCGAAATGGCTGCCCGTCGAACGTCAAACGCGGTATGCAATACCACACCTGCAATGCTTGGTGGCACTTCAAATGCACGTGTTTACAGGACGACCAGTAACTAACTCTCCTGATCCGTTTGTCCGCGCCAGCTGCCTCTACTTCAAGAGTGCATTGCATACCGCAGCCAAAAGGAGAGCCCTCAAAAACGGTGCTCAATTCCCACTACAGAATCTGAAAGACCGATGTGAGTGTTCCGCATTGATCGGGATACTGGAGGCGAAATTGGAGCGTCTTTTCAAGGCGCTGTAGGATTCAGACATAAAGAATGCAACAACTTGTACGAAAGTGAATAAAGAACGTTCTTCGCTGAACGAGTACCTCGTGCTATCCATACCGGGTCCTTTGGCCGCGAAGAAATTCATACAACTCTCCGACGCGGCTATAAAGACCGCCAAAGCGTCTCTAGTGGACAAGCGCTTAAGGGTGAACAGATAGATGACCTGGGTCCATTCTCCAGAAAAATCGGGCCAGTGAAGCTGGCACAATCGATCCTTAGCAGTGTCCTGACCAAGCCTGATCAATCGCTCCACACAGAATGGCTACTCCAGAAGGGAAGCAAGTGAACTCTCGGGCTTCTAGTCCCTCTTTCCTCCCCATCTGCCGTACAAAAAAATCTTGGAACGGGATGGCAGCATTCAAAAGGCCAACCCGATGGTCAGGCGTCCATCCGAGGATCGCCCTCTAGACGCGCGAAACCTTGGTCACAGCAGATCAGGGGTAGAGGCACGAAACAGGCTCCCGCTGGGAGCCAATTCATTTGACCCCAAACTCATGACCAGGACGATTGTGGTCATAGCCTCTTGTGCTCCTGAAAGCAGGCCGACGAAACCAGCCGCGTATCCGGACAACAGTCTTTATTCGACCACCACAGGCATCTCGCCCACCAAAAGCAGTGATGCCCTGGAGGAGGCAAACTTCACATGCAAGCAGTGCCCAAAGTACGTGGAGCTATCAACGCTTGTCTCCGTAACAGGCGACACAGGTGCAGCCAAGTACTCCTCATCAAAGCCACAGCCCCTGGACTGGACTGAGTCAGATGTGCGGGGACAAACAGCGGAGCCGAAAGCGGCCTCTCTGCTTGTGGGCACAACCGTCGCTCAGGACCCCGACAACCCATAAACGTGACTACAGCCAACCGGAAAAGCCTTCGTACATCCAGTTGGCCAAGCTGATCGCCGACGGATCGGGTGTCCACACAAACACGAAAGAAAAGCGATTGCAGCCAAACAAGCCAAAAATGGTTCCCCAGACTAGAAAACCGCTGCCTTGTTTCAAGGCAGAGTCCTCCGCAAAAACGAGTCTCTTGGGAGCGCCACCAAAAGAATCACTTCTTGGTACCGCCACCCAGCGCTCAGGGCCTCACAGAGACACTTTTCCGGTCAAACCGCGCCAAAACAGCCAAGAATCCAGGACAGTGAAAGCTTGTCGCGAATCTTTGATCAACAGCAAACCTGGTCGCCAGAAAGGCGGTGCTGAAAGAGCTACAGGCATTATCAGTAAAAAATGGATTTGAATATGTATGCATATCTGCGTGAATTGGCAGGTGACTGGTTTAATTTACCCATATGTTTCAGACTGATGGAGCGTATAATTTCAGCAACGATGCTCTGCAATGTCACGTAAGCATCCTGTTAAATTTTGTTAGGCATTGTGTTTCTGATATCCCCACATTGGGACGACTGCGGATACAGAAGTAAGTATTAGAAGCGATTATCCATCATTGCGTTGAACTCGAAGAGCTAGAATCCTAAATTTACAATACCGGCAAACCCGGGGAAATCGTCATCTTATTTTCGGACCACCTTCCGACATTGGTAGCAGATACTGGAGAGTGATGACTTTAGCCCCGAATATCTGGGATAGCGTTTCGACAATTTCACCAAAACTGAGTTTGCGGGGCAGCTTAGAGCGTGCTTTTCATGCTCCAGTATACCGAGTTTTCGTAGCAATAATCTGAGTTTCATCGGTCATCAAACTTGAGGAAATT